ATGTTAAATTTTTTATATCATCTGTATCCGTGCAATGAGCATCGTTAACTGTTAGCTATTCTGTTTCTCATTTGGGGTTGTTGTTTACATTCAAGAGATTTCTTACTTAGAGTGGCGATGAAACATTTTCATTGAAATCATATTAGTTCTATCCTTTAAATACAAGATTTTCTTTACAGTTAGGCGTTATCTCTTTTATGAGTTGTTGGGAACGGTTTCTGTGTGTCCAATGAATAAATTGTTGTTGGTAATATGACAGTAACAACAGTAATGAAATGCCTCGTGAATCTGAAAGGTCGAGACAGCTCTTGTCTAGCATGCATTTGATTTAACTTTTAAGTCTCTTCGTTTTTTTTTTTGCGGCTTTTGCAATTCCCTTTTACGTCTATAAAAAGACATGACACGTCTAGGATGCTTCAATCCATCACTTCAGCTCTCTCTTTTCTTCCAGAATGTCTTTTACGATTGTTGATCTTGGAGTGACTAGAATTAAAACTACTGTTACAAGAGAAACCAGCGATATCAACCGTCTTGTCAAGACATTCTTGTCAAACAACCGTAATAGGAAAAAAATCATTGGTCTCGACACAGAACGAGCGAGACAGGGAATTAGGGAAACTAAAACCGTCTTGCTCCAGCTTTGCGATGGAGACAATTGCCTAATGGTTCAGCTTCCCTCTAATGATCTTAATCTTCCTCTCTCGCTCTTCAATTTTCTCAACTTTCCTGATTTCACTTTTGTGGGGATTAGCATAAACAAGTCTCTTAACATGCTGTATAGTGAGTTTGGTTTGACCTGTAAGAATGTTGTTGAGATCGGACGCCCCACGCCGGATCTGATGACCGACGAGATGGCTGATATTATTCAGAAGGCACAAACAAGCACCGTCTTGAACGACTGGAGCTCATGGGATCTCAATAAGAACCAGATTAAGCTCGCAGTTTCAAATGCTTACTTGGCTTTTGGCATGGGGAACATTCTTTTGGCTTACTGAATCTAAACATCTGTTTGTTTTTTCTATTCTGTTTGTTTCCTTTGTTTCTTTCGTTATGTTCTTCAGTCTTTTGCATTCAGAGTTGGTTGGTATTACCTACATCATTTTATCCATAATGTTATATGTGAACTTTTTGCTGTTTGATCCAAAAAAAAATGTCTTTGCTTTGATCCGATACTAAACTGAATTGAGAGCACATTTAGTTCCTTTCTTACGTATTGCGTTTTGGAGTAATAAAGCCATTTCATCGTACTGGCCAATCCAAGTTTTGAACAGATGCACAAAGGTAACCAAGTAACATAGTATGTCATTAGCTTTTAAACCAGGCCTCGTAAATAAAAGACGGGCCTACTATCAGCCCACTTAATTACGGACCCTAGGTTTGCCTTCCAAATATTATGGGCAGATTAATAATATTATATAAAGATCTGGGGTTAAATTAAAAATTCCATAAAACTTTATCGGCCGCCTCTCTTTTTTTTTTTTTTTTTTTTGTCAACTTAAATTTATCAATCAGAATATAAATAGGTTCACAAATACATACACAACTAGGTGTTTTGCCCGCCATGCGGGCTTAAGTGTTGTATAATTATATATACTAATTAAATATATTACTAATTAAAATTATAAGCATATATTATTAATTGTGTTTTCATTTTGAAAATTTTTAATCTTAAAATTCTTCAAATATTATTTTTTCAATTATAAAAAATTATGAATTTTAATTAATTAATATTTAATTATTTATTTTCTGTTTTTGAATTTTTAAATATTTTATTAAAGATAGCTTTCAGATAACAATACAATATATATATGAATTATCTGTTTAAAATAAAATATATTTTTGGATTTGGATAACTCTTATTGTTAATGTTTAAAATAACTTATCTAATAAAATAAATTTAAATTCGTTTTTATATATAATTAATTTATATAATTTATTCATTAATGGTATAAACGATATTAACCGCGCTAACTTTTAACGTGGGAGCCCCGTTACGAAAAATCACTTTTTAAAAGCTTTTTATAATTATTTGTTAGTAAATATATTACTAATTAAAAATCATTTTCAAAATTTTTACTTTTATTACAAATTATTCAAATATATTTTTTCAATTATATAAAATTAAGAATTTTAATTAATTAATATTTAATTATTGTTTTCTGTTTTTGAATTTTTTTGTTTTCTGTTTTTGAATTTTTAAATATTTTATGAAAAGATAGTTTCAGATAACAATACAATATATATAGGAATTATCTTTTTAAAATAAAGTATATTTTTGATTTTGGATAACTCTTATTGTTATTGATTAAAATAAATTATCTAATAAAATAAATTAAAATTCGTTTTTATATATAATTAATTTATATAATTTATTCATTAAGGGTATAATCGATATTAACCACTCCAACTTTTAACGTTTTTCAATTTTTTTGTTTTCTGTTTTTGAGTTTTTAAATATTTTATGAAAATATAGTTTCAGATAACAATACAATATATATAGGAAGTATCTTTTTAAAATAAAATATATTTTTGATTTTGGATAAATCTTATTGTTATTGATTAAATTAAATTATCTAATAAAATAAATTAAAATTCGTTTTTATATATAATTAATTTATATAATTTATTCATTAAGGGTATAATCGATATTAACCACTCTAACTTTTAACGTGGGAGCTCCATTGCGAAAAATCACTTCGCAAATAATAGTATAGATAATAAAAACACCAAATTACAGAAGTAAAATGATGAAAACATCCAAGTACAATTGCGATCTTTGATTATTTGCCGCATTATGAACATCCTTTCTCTTTGTTGTATTACACTGGCCTTGTTCCTATTTAGATTTAAATATATTCTTCGGTTTAGAATCCAATTTATTGATTCAACCGTAAGAAATAGATTTTGACAAGGTCAATTATCAATGATTGTATGGATATCGCCATACAACAAAGAGAGTACATCTTCTTCATTATGTTGTCGTCTTCTACAACAGTTCAGCCAAATATTTTGATACCAAATATATTGTATCAAAATATAAATTATAAATACCTTTGTCAACATCATTCTTCTTCTTTTGATCTTTGATGACTTCCAATTTCTCTTCAATAGTCTCACCATTTTAATGGATTGACTATTTGCTTCCAAGTTGTCGTATCCTGACTTGCTCTCTTTTCAATTTGCTCTCTCAACCATAATTGCTTCCAGTGACAACAAACACCATCATAAAACATTTCCAATGAAATAATCCTTTTAACAGCAACTTGTAGTTGCAGAAATTTGTCACTCACGTGAAAACAAAAAACAGGAACAGAAAAACAATTGGAGAGCCAATGTTCAACTTCACGATCTATCCAATGTTCCACTTCACGATCTCTTACTTCATAACCAAATATTCCTGGGTCCCAAACCCATGGAGGAAAATCATATCTCAAATTGGAGAGATGTAATTCACGATGGTGTTGAAATTGAAATATTTCAAAACAGAAATAACAAAGGCCGCGTGTAGAACATATCAGTAGAATGAAACCGACACAAAACATCATGGAACTTTGCCGAAATGAAGTCGGAGAGAGACTCTCGTAACGAGAGAGACAAAGAACGAGAAATTGTGAGAAGTTATGTAATCGATAATATGTTCTGTGTTATTCATTCATGACCTCAAGGTCTCTTTATATACATCGTATAAGATTCTAATCCTATTGACACTAGGAAACCTATTACAATCGAAATAAGGAAATCGGCTAATAGATAAGTTTAAGAGATATATCCAAATATATCGTAATACCCCCCCCCCTCAAGTTGGAGCATATAGATTTCGAATGCCCAACTTGTAAAGGAAAATGTCAAACTCCTTTCTTCCTTGAGCTTTGGTAAGTATGTCGGCGAGCTGGTCTTTTGAAACAACGTGCTTTGTTGCAATAGTTCAGTTGAGGATATGGTCGCGGATGAAATGACACTCTGCTTCGATATGCTTCGTTCGTTCGTGAAAAACTGGATTCTTTGTCAAGTAGATAGCCGATTGATTGTCACACATAAGAGTCATTGGTCGATCATGGCGAATGCCGAATTCGTGAAGAAGACCCTTGACCCATTTTAATTCGCGGAGAACCTCTGTCATAGCTCGGTATTCAGCTTCGGTTGAAGATAAAGCCATTGTGTCTTGTTTCTGTGTCTTCCTCGAGATGACTGATGAACCGATCTGAACGATCCATCCTGTAAGAGAGCGACGTGTTAACGGGCACCCTTCCCAATCGGAATCAGACCAGCCAGTGACGTGGATTGGAGGAGCAGCTCGTAAGAATATTCCTTGGCCAAGTGTACCTTTCAAATACCGAATGACATGTATAGCAGCTTCCCAATGAATCTCCTGTGGTTTCTGAATAAATTGTGTGAGGATGTGGATCGAAGTTTCGGTTCGATGGTAAGTTTGATCCACGTGACCAGAAGATGATTGTTAGCCGTCCAGTCTTCAAAATCAGGTGAGTCGGTTGGTGGTTTCGGTATGATGCCATCGATGAACACAAATTTCTTCCTAGCACTAAGTGCTACACGAAGATTTTGTGCCCATTCATCATAGTTTCGGCCATTAAGTAATGGCTGAGAGATAACCGCCCCTGGATTGTCATTAGGAGACAAGTCGTAGGGAGAGATTGTTCGTCGAGCTTTTGTTGGTGCAGCAAGAGTTCCTTCCATTGTCGTTGAATGTCAAAAAAAAAAATCGAGTTTCGCGAGTCGAGAGAGCTTGAGATCGTCGAATTTTCAATGTCGTAGCTCTGATACCATGAGAAGTTATGTAATCGATAATATGTTCTGTGTTATTCATTTATGACCTCAAGGTCTCTTTATATACATCGTATAAGATTCTAATCCTATTGACACTAGGAAACCTATTACAATCGAAATAAGGAAATCAGCTAATAGATAAGTTTAAGAGATATATCCAAATATATCGTAATAAATTGTGAAAAGAATTCCAAAGTCATCGCTCAGATTTATTAGAAAACAGAGATTATATACAAACAAACCAAAGAGATGAAAAGTACAGCCGACGTCGGAACCGACGCCGGCCGGAGATCACACGAGAATCTGGTGGTTGTGACAGTCGCTCAATGAATCGCCAATAACCGCTAAGAGAGAATGCGGTATGTTCCCTCTCTCTTCTCTATAAAACACAAACCCTAGACTTTCATAATTTATCTCATTCATCGTTCTTCTGCTTCCACTTTGACGTCATGGGTACAAACTACAGAGATAAAGAGGAAAGTCAGAAACCAATCTATGAGTGCATAAAGTAAAAACTAATACCAAAAGTTAGAAAAGATTGAGTTTAACTTAATCAGAGCTTAGTTTTCAAACTGATCCATTTCTGGTTCCGTTATTCGATTAAAGGGCTTAGTAGCTTTTCAAAATTAAGTTGATTACCGGTTTGACTCGGTTCACACTTATTAGTTAACAGTGGTGGGGCCTAAAATCCGTAATCCGAAATCCGAACTGAAAATCCGATCCAAATTACCCCAATTAACCGAAAGCTGAACTAAACGAACCGATTTATATCTTAAAAGGCCAAAAAGAAGTAACTAATTTTGCGTCATGGGCCTCATCGGGCTTTATTTAAAACGTGGAACATTGAGAGACTATATCGAAAGGGTGTTCCAAAAATTCAAAATCCAGAAATTCAAATTTAATCTCATCTTTCCCCCTTTCTGTCTCATCTCATCTCGAAGCTAATGGGAGTGAAGTATCTGTGGGATGTATTAGAGCCTTGCAAGAAGACTTATCCACTCGATCATCTTCAGTGAGTTTTGTTTTCTCCCTCTCAATTTTTTTCTCTGTTTTTTTATTAAGACAAGTGTTGACGAGATCTCCATTTTGTCGGAAACCGTTGCAGGAACAAGAAGGTATGCGTGGATCTGTCGTGTTGGATGGTTGAATTGCATAAAGTGAACCAATCGTATTGCGCTACTAAAGAGAAAGTTTACCTCAGAGGGTTCTTTCATCGGCTTCGAGCCCTAATTGCACTGAACTGCTCAATTATTTTAGTCTCAGGTAGTTTCAGCTATCTATTTTACGAAATTGCCATCAAATTGAACGAAATTGGGTTTGTGTGTATCGAAAGTTGTGTCCTTTCGCTTGTGGGTTTGTTGTTTAGGTACCGTTTGCATTGTTGTGGTTGAGTATGGTAGTGAGCAAAAACTAGTTGAGAGTTATCTGTGATTAGTTTTAAAGAATGGGTTTTTAATGCTCTTTGCAAAATTAACGTCAAACATAAACGAATTTGAGTTTGTTTTGTAGCAAAAGTTGGGTCATTTCACTGGTGGGTTTGTTCATGAGTGATCATATGAGTTCTGAGTTGTTATCAAACTGAATGAACTTGGGTTTGTATGTAGCAAAAGTTGTGTCATTTCGCTTATCGTTTATACAGCGTTTGTATTCTTATCTTTGAGAATGGTTGTAGTAGAAACATGACTGATCTGAACCATCTGTGATTAGCTATAACGAATTGTTTTTTGTTTATGCTTTTTTCGAAATTGTGTTTGTTTGTCGTAAAAGTTGTTGTGTCATTTCGCTGGTCGGTTTGTTGTTTATGTAGCGTTTGTTCAGTGGTGATCTGATTCTTCATTATACTTAACGTACTGTTATTGTGCCTTGTGATTTGTTATAGATGGTTCAATTCCTGGAATCAAAGTACCAACTTACAGGCGTAGGTTAAAAGCAAGATTCGAGGTACACTGAATGCTAAATGAGGCACTTTTTTATACCTTTGCACATGATCGCTACTTCTTGGAAGTTATTTTTCTTCGGTTAACATTTTATGGGTTTAGCCAGGTCCCTGACGATGGTGGTGTTGAACCTGGGAAAGAGACTTCACTCAGAAGGAATATGGGGTCTGAGTTCTCTTGCATGATAAAAGAGGCCAAAGTTATCGCTTCAACATTGGGGGTACTTTGTTTAGACGGGTAATTCTTCAAGATTGTTCGCTTAGATTCACAAGAGTACTTTGGTTCGAGTGTTTTGCCTTTACTTGTGCCAAGTTTGCAAGTTGTAAACATGGACAAATGAAAGCATATTGGCATATTCTCTTATCTCCTTCAAATGCAGGGTTGAGGAAGCTGAGGCACAGTGTGCTCTGTTAAACTCTGAAAACTTATGTGTAAGAAACATTTTGCCTTCATGCTGTCAACTCATTCTCAAATGATAAATTTTCGTGTTCATGACTATCGATAGGACGCCTGTTTTAGCTCGGATTCAGATATTTTCCTTTTTGGGTCAAAGACTGTGTACAGAGAGATATGCCTTGGTGAGTGCAAAGAGACTCTTTTAAAAGTCATGGGTTCTTTTACTGTGTGTTAATTATGGTTAGATATGACTTAATCAATCTTCTTGAACTAGGTGAAGGAGGTCATGTTGTTTGCTATGAAATGGAAGACATCAAGAAAAAGCTTGGGCTTGGACGGAACTCATTGGTAACTTAAATTTTTTTTTAGTCATTAGGTTTAATATACGTAACCCGTGTTATTACAAAATGGTTTGATCAGCAAAAGCATAAGTGGCCTTTGAAGCCTACAATGCATTCTCAATAAACACAAGCTATATAGATGATTTATGTATGTATGGTTCCACTGTTACATTGTAGTTTTAAGGGATCAATTTCTTTTACTTGCATTAGTAGACGAGATCGCGTCTACTGATTGTTGTCTATTGTTCCATACGTTAGAAAACTTTGAGATGTTTGCTATTCTTCACTTTTACATGGTTACTTGTACAAAAATTTCTTCCATGAGTTACAGATAGCTCTGGCGCTTCTGCTTGGCAGTGACTACTCTCAGGGAATTCGTGGTATTCGTCAGGTTTGTTGTTAGATGAAGCTCTTAAACCGTTATCTACAGGGGTTTTCATTATTATATGCAGACTTATGGTTTAGTTTTTTCTGTAAACAGGAGAAAGCCTGCGAGATTGTTAGGTCTGTTGGAGAAAATATTATCCTTGAGAAAGTTTCATCAGAAGGACTTTCTTTTGTGAAAAAGCCGAGAAATTCAAAGAAGCAAGCTAGGCCTAAAAAGGGGACCTTGCCCTTGGTCACTATAAATGGTATGTGAAGTAACAACAACTTTTCTTGAGTTTTTGTGATATGACATGGTTGCTTTTTGAAGAATATTTTTACTCACTGAAGCTCTTTCCATAATGGCAATATGGTTTAGGAAGGAATCATGATCCAGAAGGACTGGAAGAGATTAAAGAGGTGATTGATGCGTTCATGAATCCCAAATGCCACAAAGCAGACTCTAACACAGTTTCCAGGTTAATCCTTCTTTCCATTTCCTTGTTGTCATTCGTGTAATGATAGTTCTGCTCCTTAATATGCGTGGAGATAGCAATCATCTGCAACAAGGAATTACTGAGTTTGTCATGTTACGTGTTTTGCGGTTTCTACTGATAAAGGTTCTACCTATTAGTCTTAAACTAGTAACTTAAACTAAACAAGAGAGCACAAAGGAAACTAAAGATGGAATCGAAGGCTTCCTCAAGTGACTGAAAGTATTCTGATAATAAACAAGCTTAGAAGAGGAATATATGTTATATGTGAACCCTGGAGATTAGTGAACTCAGAAAATGTTGAATGTATATTTAGATATGGAAGAAGGAAGTGACATGTATTTAAATACTGTTTTTTACAGGGCTCTGGCTGAGTTCAATTTCCAGCGCACCAAGTTACAGGAGATATGCCATCAGTACTTTGAGTGGCCCCCTGAGAAAACAGGTATCACTTTTGAATTTATATGTATATCTTATATTCCTTGTTGGTTACATTTGCAGTCATTACGTTCTTTTTTTTTTCTCTATCTTTCTTTTAGATGAATACATACTTCCAAAAATTGCTGAAAGAAATCTGAGAAGGTTTGCCATTCTGCAATCAAGATCAACTGAGGTTGCCGTTAACCTTCCTCTCCACAAGGTACCTTTCTCTCTCTCTCACTGCAAGTTATTTGCTATAAATCTTTGTGCCCCCCATAAGCATGCGTAGGACTCTCCGCTGAAGCAACTATATAACATAAAAGTTTATGGATTGGTGAGTGAAGTTGTTGATTCAAACATAAAATGTTCTTTTGCAGCCACAGGTGTCAGAGAAGTGCCCGGTGTCTGAAATCATAAAGACTCGCAAAGTACAGGGACGAGAAAGTTTTGAAGTCTCATGGAATGATCTAGAAGGGTTAGAGACCTCCATTGTTCCTGCAGATCTTGTAGAAAGGTAACTATAGTGATTCAAGTCAGACCTTCACCCAGGATTCAAGTAAAGTTGACACTGATCAAATCTGTTTTGTTTAGCTTTTAATGCCAAAACTTAAGTTTCAGGATGAATCAGTGAACTAGTATGTCTGAAGTACTCTTGTTTTTATGTCAGGGCTTGTCCTGAGAAGATCATAGAGTTCAAGGAGAAAAAGGAAGCAAAGAAGAAGAAGAAACCGAAACAAAAACAACCTAAATCAAAAGAGAGGGAAACAAGTTCACCTACAAAAGCTTCTTCACTTATCGAACTTAGCCTTCAACTCCAACAGATTGATCTTAATTCAACATCTGTCCTAGCAAGAAGCACCGTAGAAGAAGCAGGGCAAGAGAAAGAACAGCATAAATCCAAGAAACATGATTACTTGCGTCTACTCGATTCACCTGCTAAAGAAAATTCCAATAATGGTTGGTCGACCATTGGTAACTTCGGTGTTGGCCCAAGCTCTTGTTCATTCTATCCGGAAGCAGAAGTCATTGATCTGATAAGCCCTTGTCTTAAAGCTCGGTCAAAGAACGTGTCAAGAAGTTATCAAGAACAGAAGTGTCAGGAGCAGAAGTCCCTTGATCACAAACTTGAGAATGTGATTGAGCTGAGTGATTCAGACGCAGACGATGATGATGATGAACATTGCAGAAAAGCCAGAGAGCTTAGGATGTTTTTAGAAAATATTAGGAAAGACGTTATCCTCTGAGCCTCTGAGGATCATTTATGATAACTGTGTGCAATGTTATTATGCATGAATTGTTCCATTCCACATAATGTTTATGGATTTTTTATCTAATTTTTATTGTGTAGTTTTCATGAAAACTGTTAGTAAAACAATTATTAATAAACAAATTCTATTATCTTCTAGAATTTCTTGTCAGTAGGAGTAAGCTTGAAGCAACAGCTTCTTACTTGTTTCCACTTCTTTGTTGTCATGCTACTGAAATTTAAGTCATGCTACTTGTTTTTCAGTTTCTACTACAGAATTAGAGGTTCTAACAATTAGTGATGATTATTTGTGTTAAACTAATTACATAAAGTAAATAAGAGAGCACATAGGAAACTAAAGATGGAATCATAATCCTCCTCAAGCATCTGTTAACCATGGAGATTAGTGAACTTTTTAAAAAAAATATTGAATGTATATTTAAATATGGAAGAAGGAACTGTGATTTAAATTCATAGTCCGACAAGAAAATCAATACAAATCAAATAAGAAAAATCAAGATTCCCAAACCACATGACATCACATGAGCCAAACTCCAAAACATAACCCCACTAACGCCGTCACAACAACAACACCACCACTACGTCCAACCAAAACGGCACCGTTTTTATCATCAGCAACCTCACCGTCATCATCCGACGGAGCATCAGCACTTGGTCCATCAGCATCCTCATCACCAGCCTCAGCGTTCTTAGGCTTATGCTTACTCGACTTAGGAGCCGGAGCAGAGGCCTTAACCGCCTTATAAATCTCTCTCGGCAACAAAACCTTATCAATCTTGTAAACGATCAACGGCTCCTGATCCTTCAACGTCCCCGTCAACTTCGCCGTCACAACGTCCGTCTCCAACGTCACCTCCTCTCCGTCGTTCTGCACCGTGAAGTCAAACTTATTGTTCCCCTCCGTCGCCAAAGTGTTAACGGCGCCGTTACCTGACCTAAGCATCTGTAACGACTGGTAAACCGGCATGCCGTGGTACAGCACTAACGCCGTCTTGTTGGCGGCTGATAAGGCTTTGAATTTTGGCGCGAACTTTCCGACGGCGGCGTCGGAAGGGCAGAACACCGTTAAACCTCCGTCGACGGTGTCTTGGAAAGTCTTGTCGGCTCCGGTGGACTTCAGCATGTCGGAGAAGGCCTTGCATCCTTGCTTTTCCAGGATGGCGGTGAGGACGAGGTCGCTGGGGCTCGCCGTTGGCGCTTCGGCCTCCGGCGAGGTCAGGACCTGGCTGATGTGGAGGACGGAGATGTTGTAAGCCTTCTCGAAGATGGACTTGATGTAACGAGCGGTGAGCTGGCTGTCGTCGTCTTGGACGCCGAAACCGACTTTCCCGCCTTTTATGTCGGTGATGTTGACGTAGCCGGAGGTTCCGGTGGCGGAGCCGGTGGACTGGAACATGGAGGCGGTGGAGGTGGAGCCGTCGGTGATCTGGTGGAGTTTCTTGGCGCCGAAGTAGTCGACGAGGACGTGGAGGGAGAGGATGTTGCGGATGGTGTAGAGGGAGTAGCCTTTGGAGAGGATTGAGTTCATTGCCGAGTTGTCGACGGCTAGGACGGTGATGGTTTGGCGGCGGTTAATCTCGTCGGCGAGGTGGGTGGCTGAGAGGTAGTGGTTGAACGTGGAGAAGTCTGGGTCTTTGGCGAGGATTTTGGTTATGTTGTGGGCGTTTGAGAGGGTTAGGAGTTGGAGGATGAGGATCAATGCGGCGGCTGCTCGCCGGAGATAAGCCATTTTTGGGAGTGTCGGCGGCGGCGGCGGCGGGTTTGTGATTAGTGGGAGTTGTGTTGTGGTACTATTGAAGAAGAGAGAGATGCTCTAATAATTTTATATGAGAGAAAGCAGAGAGCTGTCTCGAATATTTTACAGCGCGGAAGCAGGTAAGAGGGGCCACATGACCACATAAGGTTGTGTCTGAAAAGTAACATGGGGTGTCCGATTTTATATTTTGTATGTACGCAACGAACCGACACTTTTTTTCTTTTCTTTTTGAACTTCACCGACAGTTATTTTCACAATCCTTCTAGATCACTCCACGAGACTTGAAAACATTCTCGTCTATGTACTTCACCGGTCACTTTTCTGGCACCTGCGGCTGCAGCAAGAATATAGTTTTGTTAGGGAAAGGCAGTTAACTTTAAGTTGCTAACTGTCGGTTGTAGACTAAACCGGTTACTACAAATGCTCCCGGTTCAGACATTTTTGGTTGGCTTGACTTTCATGTATCTACTTAATGTAGCCTAATGCTACTATTTATTTGTCACATTGTACCAAAACATGGCTCAGATTTGTTAGTTTGTGTACATTTCTACGAACCTTCTGCCAGTTTATCCATAAAAGATGATGCCGAAACAAAGAAAAAGCCTAAGTCGAAAGAGAATGAAACAAGTTCACCAACCAAATAGTTTTCTCTTATTACCGAACTCAGCCTCAAACTCCAACACATTGATCTCAGTATAACCTCTGTAGTAGCTACAAGCTCCATAAAAAAAGGCCAGCAAGTGAAGGAACATTTAAACATGATCACTTGTGTCTAATTTCTTCTGCTAAAGAAACTTCCAATAGTGACTGGTCAACTATGGATAGATTTGTTGTTTGCCCGAGTTCTTGTTCATTGTATCTGGAAACAGAAATTGATCTGATAAGCCCTTGCCCTCAAGCTTGTGAGCGTGTCAAGAAGTTATCAAGAGCAGATCAATCACAAGCTTGAGAGAAATTAGAACATTTAAAATGCATACCATAATTAAAAACAATCTTATTGTCATTATGAGCTTCGAAATCTTATTACCCTTTGTGGTTGCTACTTGTATTATATATATGTGTGTGTATGTACATTTTAAGTATATTGGCTTTGATTGTCCGCAGTTTTTAGAATATGTTTGAGCTTAGAAGAGATAATTACTTATCGGTTTCACTTAAATTTTCATTCTACGGTTTTACACATATATTAAGGTAGAATTACATTTATTTAGAAACATAGGAAATATAAAATGACACTTATTTTACAACAAGAAAAATATGGTAGAATTACATTTATTTAGAAACATAGGAAAATAAACATTTTTGGTGAAACCCACGAAAATATGGGTTTTGTTATTATCTTAAAATTTGGTGCAAACTTGTAAACTAGTATTTATAAATTTTAGAAAAACTATTCCAAAATATTGATAGGTTAAAAATTACTTTTTTTGGAAAAAAGCAATTTAAAACACCATAAACAACCAACGCCAAGCTATTGTCATTTATTAGCATGGATGACAGAAGCATTCCATCATTCCTGAACTTTTATAAGGGAAACATTTTCCATGACATCTTTTCGGGTTTGTTTCTGTAGTGCAATAGTGATTGCATACCTCATCACGAACAATAGCATGACGATCCAAACAGACTCCCTTCGGCGCATTCTTAGCTTTAGTATACTTAGTTCTCACCTGAGCTTCTGCTGTACATAATGGAGTCAATGAAGAATCAGTAAATTCCATTTAGTTAATAATATACATAATTTAGTTTCAAGTAGGTCTCACGGGAAAGAAACATTTTTTTAATTCAATAAATCATATAATTTTTGTTTTGTTTTTGTTTTTGTTTTCATCTGTTACCATAGTTTTTGTGTGTTTAAAGTGTAAAACAAAATCTTATACTTAGAAGTTTAGATATTATATGTTGAAATTAAGTTTGTAACGAAAACTGCAAATTCCCAAAAAAAAATAAAAAAAGGTCTGTGTTGGTAAGTTATAGCTGATAAATGAGTTTTGTTTACATTTCTTGAGGCTATGTGGTTCTTCTGGAAAAAGAAGCTAAACATAACTTATTTTTCCATAATATTATACAAAATACTTTGTGACCATTTATTTCCTAGATATATTATTGGTAGATGATAAATTATGTTTTAGTGTAGGAAAAGAAAGAGAAAAACTTTCAACATCTTTAAAAATACAACAGGGAAATATTATTTTGTTAAAGAAACAATATATAAAGCTTTTGTGAGAGTCAAAATTTGTATTACCTGTCAAAACCAACAAGAAAATCATCAAAAGAGAGATGAAAGCACCAATTTTAAAAATCTCTTTACTGTTCCACCGATAGGGCTCAATGGCGGGCTAGCTCTCTCATGGAAAGACAATGACCATCTTGAAGTTTTATTTTCCTCTGCTAATGTAATCGACACGAAGATCGAGTTCAATAATAAATCATTTTACGTGTCTTACATCTATGGTGCACCCAACAGAGAGGATCGCCCCCGGTTCTGGGAAACTATGTCAGAGTTAAGTAATGGCAGAACATCTCCGTGGTTGCTCACCAGAGATTTCAATGATCTCCTCGATAACTCGGAAAAAGTCAGAGGCCCACCCAGATGGGAAGGCTCATTCTTCTCTTTTCGTAATTTTGTCTCAATGAACGGGCTATGGGATCTCCAATTCTCGGGTAACTCCCTCTCTTGGAGAGGTACAAGATATACTCATTTTATCCAGTCACGACTAGATCGAGCAATGGCTAACATAGACTGGATGAAACTCTTTCCGACAGCAAGAAGTGAGTATCTACGTTTTGAAGGATCAGACCATCGCCCAATGCTAACTCACTTTGATCAGCACTTGCAAAGGAAGAAAGGTTTGTTTAGATATGACAGACGCCTCAGTGATAAGCCGGAGATACATAAGCTGGTGGAGACATCTTGGAACTCCTCGAGTACTGATTCTGTTCTCACAAAAATCTGCACTGTGAGACGAAATCTAGTGGAATGGGCAAAGATGCAAGCAGCTTCTAGGAAAGAACTTATCAGCACAAATCAGATCCTCCTCGAACAGGCCCTATCTGACCTTTCTCCTATACCGGAAAGAATTGAGGAGCTACAATTGATTTTAGAGAAAGCTTATGCTGAGGAAGAGGCGTTTTGGCGACAAATGAGTAGGATACAATGGCTAAGTGGTGGAGACAAGAATTCTAGTTTCTTCCATGCTGTTACCCGGGGATGCAGAGCTGTTAATAAATTCTCTATCATTGAAGATGAAACTGGGAACGCATTCTATGAAGAAAGTGAAATTGTAAACTCCTTTACAACCTTCTACCAGCAGCTTTTCACGACAAAGAACACATATGCTCCGGATGTGGTCACTGAAGCTCTATCTCCCATGGTTACGCCTGAGATGAATGAGCTTCTAATTGCACTCCCGGATAAACAAGAGGTTCAAAGGGCAGTGTTCTCTATACACTCAGATAAAGCACCGGGACCGGACGGATTCTCGGATAGCTTTTACCAAAATTTTTGGGACATTATCGGAGACGACATTTATCGTGATATCAGGAGATTTTTTGAAACGAGCTTCCTGCACCGAGGCATAATGAAACCCATTTAAGGTTGATACCAAAGGTGACTGGAGCTAAAAAAGTCTCGGAGTATAGACCCATCGCCTTGTGTAACACTCACTACAAGGTTATTGCAAAAATCTTGTCTAAAAGGCTCCAGCCACTGCTCCAGTCCCTTATCTCCCCCTCTCAATCAGCTTTTGTACCAGGACGGTCTATCGCTGACAATGTGTTGATCACGCATGAGATATTACATTACTTGAGAAAATCAGGGGCTCGGAAACATGTTTCCATGGCGGTTAAGACGGAAATGATCAAAGCATACGACATGATTGAGTGGAGTTTCCTGCGGGAAGTTCTTAACCGGCTAGGCTTCCATGAGATATGGATTTCGTGGATCATGGAGTGTGTTTCCTCGGTCTCGTACTCCTTCTTGATAAATGAAGGTCCACAAGGAAAGATTAAGCCCTCTAGAGGACTCCGGCAAGGGGACCCGCTATCCCCGTGTCTCTTTATCCTTTGCACCGAAGTGTTATCGGGTCTATGCAACCAAGCGATGATACGAGGCACTCTCCCTGGGATTAAAGTTGGCCAGAAATGCCCCCCTATCAATCACTTACTGTTCGCGGATGATACGATGTTATTCGGGAAATCAAACTCATCTAGCTGCACCACCCTCCTCTCCATTCTTGACAAATATGAGGCAGCATCAGGACAGTGTATCAACCGATTGAATCAGCTATCACCTTCTCCTCCAAGACCAGTAAAGAATGTAAAACCCAGGCAAAACGAGAACTCAACATCCTAAATGAAGGAGGCATTGGAAAATATCTTGGATTACCGGAACATTTTGGCAGGAAGAAACGAGATATCTTTGCTTCGATTGTGGATCGTATCAAGCAAAGGGCACAAGGTTGGACTGCTAGATACTTATCCGGTGCAGGAAATTGGTGTTTCTGAAAGCAGTGCTAGCATCTATGCCGACGTATGCTATGTCATGCTTCAAACTACCAAAATTCCTTTGTAAACAAATCCAAAGTGTTCTAACCAGGTTTTGGTGGGACAAAAAACCAGAGCTAAGGAAGATGTGTTGGATTTCTTGGGACAAGCTTACTCTTCCAAAAGGTGCTGGTGGTCTCGGGTTCAGAGAAATTGAGATCTTTAATGATGCTCTGTTGGCTAAGCACACCTGGAAGCTGATAAAGAACCCCTCCTCACTGCTGGGACAAACTCTGTTAAACAAGTACTGCCTACATCAGGATATTCTATCGTGCTCAGCTCCTAATGCAGCATCTCACGGATGGCGTGGAATTCTGGCTGGTAGGGATATTATAAACAGAGGAATGGGATGGTTTGTTGGTAATGGAGAATCAATTCTGATCTGGCGCCAAAACTGGCTCTCCACGGATCACCAAGCTAGTCCCATGGGTCCTCCAACAGAACTTGCACAAAACCTGAAGGTCAGTGATCTTCTCCTCCCAAACAAACCTGAATGGGACACAGCAAAAGTAAACCTCCATCTCCCTCAATATGCGACTACCATCCAGAAGCTGATCCTAAGCTCAAATTCTTTAATGGATGAGCGTGTCTGGCTCTTGGAGAAATCGGGGGATTACACAACAAAAAAAGGTTATGCTTTGGCAAAATTGAACAATGGCAACAGTCTGGATTCCTTTAATTGGAAACAATGTGTCTGGAATGTAAAGTGCTCTCCTAAACTAAAACGGTTTCTTTGGAAGTTAAAAAACAAGGCACTTGCAATAGGAGAAACTTCAAAGACGTGGAATCCAGGTAGATGGAAATTTCAAAAGATGCGGAGCTGAGGAAACCGTGTTCCATGTCATGTTCTCGTGCCCGATAGCGGCAAAAGTATGGGAGTTAATCCCAGCTACTCTAGTACCGTCAAGAAGCTCCTACCACTCAATGGAGGACTTACTAAAGGCATGTACTAGGATCACAAATCTCCCCCCTCTCGGACTGTATACTCCCCTATACCCTTGGATTTTTTGGGTTTTGTGGATAAGCAGGAATCAACTACTCTTTGAAGACAAGTCTTTCTCGGAAACAGACATGATGTTAAGGGCCATAAAGAGCGCTAAGGAATGGCAATCAGCTAATCTTGTGCCCAAAAAACATACTGCTTCAACTAAAGACTGCTCTTCTACGATAGACCAAACCCAATCCATGGTATGTGCCTCTAGCCTCTTCTCTGATGCTGCGTGGAATAGCTCGAGTTGTGCTGGGGGTCTTGGTTGGATAATCAAAAACCCATATGGGAGTACCCTCCTCCAAGGTAGTTCGCCAAGGAAATTTGTGGCTTCAGCTCTGGTAGGAGAAACATTGGCGCTAAAAGAGGGACTTTCAAAAGCTACTGATACCGGTATAAAAGACATTGTTTGTTTCTCAATTCTAAATATCTAATTAATTTGCTCACAGGGAACAAGTCTGTGACAGCTCTCAAAGGGATTCTCCATGACTTAAGCGTGTTGAGAAGATCTCTAAACTCTATCTCTTTTTGATATGTTTCTTGCTTGAGTAATGTGCAAGCGGATGAACTTGCGAAAAACTCTCTGTTTCTGTTGTCAGCAGCCCTTAGGGACTGAAACTATCTTTATTTGTAATGAAAGGTTTGATCAAAAAAAGAGAGATGAAAGCAACGACATTTCCACGTTTCGCCATGTTTATTTCTCTTCTTAATTATTCTGTTCTTTATTTCTTATGGAGTATTTCTATTGTATCCACTCATCTAATTATTAATGACTGTATATAAAGATTTAAGTTTTCTATAAAAAGAGAAGATGAAACGAAAAATGTTGTCCGTCAAAAAAAGGGTGGCCATCTAGTTTTTCAATGAACCACATAATCTTATTTTGTAGGAATTAGCAAATAATATGTGGCTATGCCTGCCCCCTAATTTATATAGCAAACTAAATTTGAAATTAACATAGAAAGTCTACTACATATACATGATAATCAAATGATCTCTAGTTTTGTAAGTAATAATCATATACATTAGACAAAAAAAAATCATATATACATAAAAATACGAAATGTAATTGGTGATGCAAAAAAAAAAAGAAGAATACTAGCTTTGATTGACTCGACCTCATAAAATTTCAAAATTGGCTATCAAATGGTCTCTATCTTGAATCATCTACAAGATGGTTAATTTCTGGATGCCAGTGTCTGCTATGCATAGATACTGCCTTACGAAAATAAAACAGCTGTAGCCTGGTCATATATATCCAAGCACTCTTGAGGTTAAAAGTATATTGGCAAGCAACTCTTCCAAACTCAAAAGATTAATTAAACTCTTTAACGAGCAAAGCTTAAAGATTCTTTCGCAATAAAATGTCAGACTATATATGTATGAGATTGATACCTAAATATACACTATTAAGGATTCAGGATATCCATCCAGTTTAGTACTTAACGATCACATGTACTAGTATTGGTTATGAACAGAAGAGAAGAAATCAAGATTTTTTTGAGTAAGTTAAAGACCTCAAAATTGGATGAAAATGGTATAGCAAGGTAAACAAAATCGGACATAAATATCTGAAAATTCAAATGCAATATTCTCCATAGATAAAGAAGGTGGGTAAAAGCATCCAAAAACATAAACTAAACGATAAAAAGCACTCTTCTCTTCCTTACATTCCAGTGAAAGCCTTCTTTGCGAAAGCAGAAGCACCAGCCGGAATCACCTTCAACACATTGAACCTCACAGTCTTGGACAATGGCCTAAAAGTCACCCCAACAATAAAAAAAAGACCAAATCAAACAAACAAAACAAATCAGAATCAAACACTAATGGTAAGGTCAAGAACCAAACCTGCATTGACCAATGATGACATGGTCACCTTCCTTAACACGGAAGCAAGGCGAGACATGAGCAGGGATGTTGGAGTGCCTCTTCTCGTACCTCTGATACTTTTTGACAAAGTGAAGATAGTTCCTTCGGACAATGATTGTCCTCTGCATCTTAGCGCTGTGACAAGTACCAGCTAAGATACGACCTCTAATGGAGACAGTTCCGGTGAATGGACATTTTTTGTCAATGTAAGTTCCTAAAAAAAAACAAAACAACAGTCACTTAAAAACTAATTGGTTCGGTTTGTTCACTAATGGATCTATGAGTTCCAGATGGAAGGAAACAAAACCTTGAATGGCGTCACGAGGAGTCTTGAAGCCCAAACCGATGTTCTTGGAGAAACGGTTTCCACCTTTACCAGGTCGCTTTCCCTTTCCAGAGATCTTTGAGCTAAGGAAGACCTTAGGTTGCTTGAGAAAAGCCTTCTCAGTCTGCAAATGTGCAAAAGAAAGTTTATTAGAACCATTACATGGTGATAGGAATCGATAGAAGAGGATGGGGAGATGAGCAAATAACCTGTTCAGCCATGGCTCTCTGCTGTTTTGTGAAAGATTGAGACAAGGATGTAGGAGACGAAACGAGACGGCTAAAGCTTCAAGAAGGAAAACCCTAGTGTACAAGAAGAGTCTTTTATATGCGGAAACAACAGAACATACCACAACTTTATTGAGTCCTTTTAATTTGGGCCCGTGAATAAGAAACCTTAAATTGAGGCCTGGTTATGCTTCAATGTTTTACTCAAAGCTTGGTGATGGGCTTGCTTGCGTAGTGGTGCAATTGCATTTCCACTTCAATTTTTTAAAAAACTAGCTTTTATACTCGCGCTACGCGCGAGTCTGTATTAATAATTTAAAATAATTTAAAACAAAAAAATTAATTGAGTAATATAATTTTCTTATTGAAAATATAATTTTTTAATTTAGTATTTATGTTTTCTTATAATTATGTTATCTTATTAGCTATTTAGTTATTTGTATTTGTAAATATAATACTTATGTTTGTAAACATATTCATAATTATTGGAAATATTAATTNTGTTACCATTCACCTTTTTAGAAATAACAAAATTAAGATAGTCATTTGCCAAATTCTTTTGATATTTACTTTATGTTAATTTTTAAAATTCTTCAATATACTTAGTTAACTACCTCACTTATATATGATGTTTTTACTTTTGTAATTTTATCAAATTTTGATACTGATTTACATTTTATCTTGAAATAGATCATTTTTGCTAATATTGACTTTTGCTAAGAAATATCAAAATTAAGATAATTAGTTATTTTAATGTTAATTTCACAAATCTGTAATGTATTAAAGTTAACTTATATATAATGTTTTTACTGTTATAAGTTTACCTGATACATATTTAATTTTTATTTTGAAATTATTGTTTCGGCAACATTAACATTTTTTAAAATAAAAAATAAAAAAATTATGTATTATGATATGATTTTTTTAAATTCTATGTGAAAGTTTTCAATGGCTTATAACTCAATTTTATATAGTATATATATATATATATATATATGTTACTATTCATTTTTTAAGAAATAGCAAAATTAAGATAATTATTTGACAAATTATTTTTGGAAATTATTTTATGTTATTTTCGAAATTATTTTTTAAGAAATAGCAAAATTATGATGTTTAATTTTTGTAAGTTTGCCATATGTGATATTGATTTATATTTTTTTTTGAAATTAATAATTGTTTTAATATTGACTTTTACAGAAATAGTAAAGTTAAGATAATTTATTATTTTAATTAATTTAGAAAATATATAAATGTTAAAATTAACTTATGTATATTGTTTTACTTTTTTAAGTTTCCTTTATACATATTTATTGTTATTATTTTTATTTAGTAACATTAACATTTTTTAAAATAACAAATCAAAAAACTTATGTGTCATGATATGATTGGAAGACTTAAATCCTATGTAGTTGTTATAGTCATATTGACTTTTTCAGAAATATAAAAATTAAGATAATTTGTTATTTTAATTTTAAAATTAAATTATGTATAATGTTTTAGTTTATTAAGTTTCCCTTATGCATATTTTCTTTAGTAACATTAACAT